CACGCAAGAGTTTTCACAATCGTACGGTAGATCTAAACGTTATGAATTGACTAGGTTGCTTCTCAGCTAGACTGCTAGCTATACAGAGCTCTCCTCATTTTTTCCCCCTTTTCATGTCTCTTCGGGGGAGATTAATTATCGCAATTGATTCAGTTTAATATTTCAAAGCAAAGGGAAGTGTGAATTTATCCCGATGTTTGTGCTCGCGCGATTCAATTCAGGTATGGAATAGTGTGCGAATAATAGCAAAATTTGCTCGAAAAGTTCGGCTGAAAATTTCAAAACACGGTTTGCATGTGGTTTTTGTTTTTATACCAGGTTCTTGAGTTAGTAACAAATTTTTACAGCGCACAATTGATCAATGTGCTGGCAGATTTGACTATAAGTGTCGGTATTTCCGAAAATGTCTTTGATTATACATATCTTCGTGGCGCTAACGCTATATATGTATAAATTTACATCAACGAGAGACCGTAAGAAGAATATATATAATAATATCGCTATCTTCGAACTGGAAACGAACAACGCGATTCTGTCACTCGGATATAGATCATTTTCGTACCGATGTTCGGACATTACCATAAGATTACGATCGATCGCTCTAAATTCGAAGACACGACATGTGTGTATCCTAAGAAATATAAATCTCTGTCAGTGCACGATCAGTTATATTCTGGCGTTAATCGCAGCAATTTGCAGTTTTGCACTGTTGTTGATCGCGTGCCATAATATAGCGTTTAAAACGGCTAATAAATTTCAATTCGATTAATCGTATCGTTCGAGTTTTATATCGCGGTCATTAACGTGACAAAGCTCAGAGTATTAAACTTCCGATATAAAATTTTATTTTGTTTCTCCAGTGATTTTTTTTCTATGGTAGATTAATTTCGCGCCTTTCTGATAGAAGGATCGCTAATTGCGTAATTTCTCTCGTTTCATTCCTTCTGTAAGCGTTCACAAATAATGGCCGGCATTATACGTATATCTTTGTTCCAAGTTTAGTTTCCTGACCGTTTGATGATCAAAGAATCTTTCCAGCTTTCGCTGAATACGAATTCAAGGTGCGGTATATAATATGTAGAAGTATATAAGAGAATATCGTGTACAAAGAGAATCGCAAGAGATATAAAAAATCTATAAAAAAAAGAAAGAGAAAAGAAACTGTCTCCTTAGAGAACCTGGTTTGAATGGTATCTTACAAAAATCTTCTCGTATCTTTAAATCTCCAAGAGAGATATATTCAAGTATTCTGTTTCCGGTGACTTATCCTATTGTACGCGAATCCCTGTCTTATACCATCATAACTCAATCTATAAGTAACGTTATATTCTGCGCTCGATCGGATACCGCGATTTCGTCGTTAGGTTTAATCGTTTTATAGAGACGCGTTAGACGTAGCTTAGCAACGGCGTATTCTTGATCCCCAGCTAGTCGAAGGTGCTCGCCCCTTCGTTCAGCACGAGATTTCCTCTTCGGGACTGAGACTTCAGGGAGCAGAGCTGGTGAATCACGAGCGATCAGATTGTAACGACGATCAACGACGACTCGTATCTGTCTGATGCGAACAACGGGACGTAGGACTTGCTTAAAGAAGGTACGTGTGTGTGTGCGCATTCGGGTGGTTTGTATAGAGCGTATTGAGACAGTGTTTTCTGGAAAATAACGCAATTTTTTCCATTGTACGATCATAACGCCAATTTTTAACTATCCGCGATTTTCTTCTTCTTGTTCTTCTTCTTTCCTTTTTCTGTCTTCCTCTTTTAATCGCGATTTATCTTAACTATGTATAATCGCACTATATATTAATTATATCTGTTTACTTAGATAACAGCTACTACAGTAGTAGCTCTTTGGTGTTTTCATTGTAATCGATTTTGATATTAATAATCGCCACTCGAGGCTGCTACTCGCTAGTCTGACATATGCTCGCACGCTCGCACGCCTACGATTCGCAATAACGGATATATTAGAAAATCGATACTTCTCACGCACGTACACCACAACATGTTACATACTATGAACGCTTATAAGGAGCTCGCAAGCGATCAATATCTCTTGTCAGTGTTTCAGTACCGACGTTATGATTGAACGCGACAAATATCGCAAAACTATCATCGCACGAAAAGTATCTAGAGACAGAAACTAATAGATTGATATCCTGGTAATATCTTGTTGCGATAGGTCGATGTAACAGCCAAGTGTACAAAGCAAATCGTATTGATAATTTCTATTAATGAATAAATATACGTATCGATTTTGGAATAAATATGTATCGAGATTTGTTATTATTTGTAGAATTTTTATATGATTATTGAACGCTTGCGCGCGGAATCAATCGGACCTAGAAAGGATGTACAACGAAGTATCAACCTACGAACTACCAACGAAAAATATGTACGTGTGATATTTATGATCGTCAACGATCGTAGCGACTAACAGTCTAGTCGAGCGAAATCGACGCGTCATCACGTCGAAAATAATGATATATAATCATGCGCCCTGCCTCGTCGTTCCTATTCACGACATACATAATCGCCGCCACCACGCGATCATGATGAATGGTAACAAAAACTGCGGGGGATATAGAAAGATTGCCGGAATATTCAACAATTATACATGGGGTGGAGCAAAATAATAAACACTGAAAGTCACGCGCATATTATGCATTGTGCAGAATTCAAATTGTTCAAATTAATGAAATAATTCGCTAAAAAGAAAATACTCGTATATCAAATTTGTTGGCAAATAATTTTTTTATTTTAAACGTAGAACAACCTATAATGGGATTCATGTTGATCCCTCAACGAGGGATATCTTTTTTATAGCACTATCGCGCGAAGCATTTATCGAGAGAAGATGTACTTAAATATGGGAGAACAACGCTTGATCTGAAAAATCGCGCGTGATCACGAAGACGCGTCGTTTCTGGCAACGCAAAGTCATGCAATCCATTCGTTAATCCTATTGTTTCTAACGCCTATCGTACAAGCAGAATTGTACAGATAACGTTATCCAAGAAATTAGATGTCGACATTTTCCAGATATCCTACAAATATCTTCTCGACATTGTAGCGATTTATGATTCTCGTTTTCGTGCCGCATTTCCGACTCACAGCCACGCATTGCACTTTAACGCCGTTTTTATCACTGTCGATATCGTCGTCGTCGTCGTCGACTCGAGATTCCAGATTCCAGCCAACGCTACAATTTGGTACGAATCCGCAAGACAGATTCTTCCAGGATCTTCGCAGGATCATTTCGCAGATAGGGATGCGCGAGTACCTCGCATTATATTTTTTCTTTTCATTACTTTTATTATTTTCGTGATTATGCTTTTTAGACACCGTTCTCTCTTCATATCTGATGGAAAAAGCCCAGGTATTTTGATCTCGCTTATTAATAATCAGTCAGTATACGACCTTAGGTTTTAACTCCTCGGATTGCGTAAACTCCACTCGATCCTTGCCAGAAATTGACGCCAATTGTCGATTGTCGAAATATCCGGGGTCTCGTCGTCACAGAATCGTCGCATTTCTCCGCAAGATTGTCTCGATGGCGGCGGTCTTGTGATATTTCGCGTGTTGTCTCCGAATCGGCTCTCTTTTGAGCCTTCACTAAGCCTTCACTAAGCGTCGATCTGCGAGATAAGGACAACAATGTGCGTGTGCATGTGTGTGTGTATTGTGTGTATGTATATGTCCATTTTCCGATTCCACAGACTTAGACCTCGATTGCTATTCTAGGAGCCGTGTTATCGCGTTGCCCTAAAAAAGAATTTTCAAATTTTTTAAATAAAACAAAATTTGATCGAAGAAAACATTTTTTAAAAATAGAAAAATTTAACTATAGAATTCTGACGAATTAAACTTGCGAGAATAAAAAATTGATAGCTCGTTTCTTACTCATAATTATTTCTGCTTTAACATGGAGTTTAAAGTTCGACGCTTAGAGTTGATAAAACAATGCTAAAAAGAGAATTTGAGAAAAAAGAATTTTGTCCTCTCGACAAATTTTTGTGTCGAGGAGAAAACGCTTCCGAATTCATCGAAAAATCGAGTACCTAGTTGAAAAAAAAAATTGACGCTCTCTCGCAGCTATTCCAATATTCTCGATTCTCGCAGAAACTATGTATTCGAGAAGTGCCTGTTCGCGAAGAAACGCTTCTTCGGGAAAGTGTTCACCTTCAACAAAAGAGCGGCGCCTCCGGTTGGTTCCACCAGTGAGCGGCTAGGAGCAGATAGAGCTCCTGATCCTGGACGGTGTACCCGGGTGGCGGTTGCGAGGGCAAGGGCGGCGGGATAGGCGGCAGCAGGGAATAGGACGGCGGCGGCGGCGACGGGGACAAGGATTGCGAGAACGTTGTCGTCGAGAGCGGCGTCGGCGGCGTCGCGTTGCTAACTGCCGTGGTTGCTGGAGGCTCGTCCTTAGCCGGAGATCAAAGCGCGCAGTCGAACATCGCCAGCGATCGGGTGATCACGTCGTCCTGCACGTAAAGTTTCGTCATGTCAGAGGAACACGGTTCTGCTTACTGTGTACACTGACAGAATTTTCCCTTAAAATTTACCCTGAAAATCATGCTAATGAAAAAGAATTTTATAAGAGCTTCTCTGATTACAATAAAAATATTAATATCTATCGCAATAAGATATAAAATATATTCGATTAATTGTACTATACATATGTGCGCATTATTATTTTTTATTGTGATAAATATATTAATCAGAGAAACTCTTATAAAATTCTTCCAATACCATATTGTCCCACGATTTTACTATAATTTTTCAGTTACTCTGATTAATATTTACTACAATAAGAAATATTAATATCTACCACAATAAGATATAAAATATGTTCAATTAATTTTACTATATGTAGATATTAATATTTTTTATTGTGGTAATTATTAATCAGAGAAACTCATAAAATTCCATATTGTCCCACGATTGCCATGATTTTCAGGCTAAATTCTAAGAGAAAAATTCTCTCCATATAGAATTTTGGCTAGTGCCAAGTTTCATTCGCGCAACGACCGAAAAGTCCTGTATATATGTACATACCTATATATCCTCGTACAGAAATATATTATTATACTATCGCGACGAAAATGCTGAACAAGCTCGCGCAAGCTCCATAGACATCGATCAATCTTTCGGCGCCCTTTTGTTCTCGCTACACGACACATGTTTGTAGTGAAACGTACTACTATACGAAATCGCGAATGCATTTATTGTTTCATAGATTTGTATTTCTCTTATCGCGAAAAGCGAATGTAGAAAAGATGTTGCATTGCAAATATTCTGCGACAGATTTTCTGGTGATACCGAATACTTCGAAAAATTGGATTCTAAAGATATTTCTTCTTTAATATCGAATAATTCTGCTAGGATTTTCCATATTAACTAATTTTAAAATATATATATATATAAATGATAATTATTATAATTATTTTTTTAAATGTGCTAGTGAATTTAATTTTAATAAGAAATTTTGAAAGGAAGTATATATAATCGGATAATCGAAGCATCAAAATGCATGATATGCGAGAAAAATGATGAGCTTTTGATTCTCTCTCGCAGGAGATTCGTTTGAAAACTAGTTGAAGCGCAACTGTAGCTAAAAGAAACACCACGCCAGATCTAGGACATATCGTCTCGAGGAAGTTGGTGTTCATTTACGAAGGGAGTACTTACGAGGTGTCCCAGATTCACCACGCCTTCTTCCATTCAATCCTCAACTAAGCTCGGGCCGTTATTAAAATGTAAATAGCGGTCGTCGTCGTACGCGAGAGATTCGAGCTTACGCTATTACGACGAAACGCTGAACAAAGGATCGGTCGTGAAGCGAACGAACACGTTGGGAAGACGAAAGGAAAGCCGGGGACACCCGGTATATACACACATCTATCTATTTTTCTACCCGATCGTTTCGCCGTCAGTTTGTTTCACGGCCAGGTGGGACGTGTACCTTCAAACAACTCTCGATAAACTCTTCGATCGTGATAACACCGTCCTGGTTGAGATCGAGTTTCTTGAAGACCCTGTCCAGTTGCTCCCTCGCCTTTCTCTCTTCCTCGGCGTGATGTTTCCTCCCCATCAACTCGTGCACCGCTGTCACGACTTCTCCCAGCTCGCTCCTGGTGATACAGCCGTCCCCGTTTATATCGTACAGCTTGAAGGTCCATCTGAGTTTTTCATAAATGCTGCCCCGCAGCAGGGTCGATAGTGTCACGAGGAGATCCTGCAATTCCCGAGATTGTCTAAAGTCGTTTACCGCGCGATGACGTTAAATCCGAGGCGAAACGGTTTTTCTCTCTCTCTCGACGCTTTCCTCTTTCTCTTTTCTTTATTATTCTGATAATTTCCGGGCGTTGAAGTCGTTCGCTTTGTGACTTTTTTTTTCACCGAAAAAAGGCGAAATAAAATTTCGCAATTCAACAAATGACAGAAGAGAGAGAAGCAATTTGAATGTAAATTAATATCAAAGAAGAAAGAGAAACAGGAAAAGCCAGGTACACCTAAATATTCTTTTTCTAAAAATAAATATTCATTAACATCGTCCGTCATGAAATAAAATTTGCTTAAAAGTTTTAACGAAATTGCAGGCGCCGAAGTTGCTGGGGTAATTAAATATAAAAATAATATTGGAAAACACGCGTAACGAATTATTATTAATTAGGTGCTTGCAAAAGTTCATAAGGTTACGAAGATGCAGCGCGTTATTTAGTAATTATTTTTTTAAGTTACTTTCTCGTTTTTAAATGTTGACCACATTCAATCAGAGTTAATTGTCTGGTAAATCATAATTCCAAATATAACTTCACATTTAACGCTAATTGAAAATGGAACCAGATAAAGTTCACCTTCTTTATTGTACGCTTTATCACTTTAATCGAGATGAAACCGCTGCAACGGCGAAAAGATTGATTTGTGAAAAAATAATTACAACATCAAAACGACAAAAATGAACTTTATCTAATTTTATTTTCAATCGCGTTAAATGTAAAGTTATATTTGGAATTATGATTTATCAGTCATTAAATTATGATTGAATTTGGTCAGCATTTTTAAAAACAAGAAAGCAACTAAAAAGAAAATAATTATTAATAACGTGCCATATATTGGTAACCATATGAACTTTTGCAAGCACCTAATATAATTGCGATAATATAACTGCATTTTCCTCGAATTCTAAAATTTAAATTACCAAGCGGTCGCGGGTACTTTAACTGAAATTGAACAGAATTACGTCAGCGATTCTATTGCCATATCAGCAGCATACAGGGAGAGAATTTCCTTTTAGAAATTACCCTGAAAATCATGGTAATTATAGGACAATATGATATTGCAAGAATTTCACGAGCATTTCTCTGAATAATATTTTTTACCACATTAAAAAATATATACATACATAGTAAAATTAATCGAATATATTGTATATCTTATCGTGATAAATATTGATTAGAGAAACTCATAAAATTCTTGCAATACCATATTGTTCCATAATTACCATAATTTTCAGAGTAAATTGTAAGAAAAAATTCTCTCCGTGTATTGTAACTTGTAAATTGAACAGAATTATGTCAGCAATTCCATTATCAGAATCAGCAGCATACATACAGGGAGAGAATTTTCTCTTAGAATTTAGCCTGAAAATCGTGGTAATTATGCGATAATATAGTATTACAAGAATTTTATGAATTTCTCTGATTAACATTTACCACACTAAAAAATATTAATATGTACATAGTAAAATTAATCGAATATATTTTATATCTTATTATCATAGATATTAATATTTTTTATTATGATAAATATTAATTATAGAGAGACTCTTATAAAATTCTTCCAATACCATATTGTCTCACAAATCATTACCATGATTTCCAGAGTAAATTGTAAGAAAAAATTCTCTCTGTGTCTTTAACTGAAATTGAACAGAATTACGTGAGCGATTTTATTATCAGTATCAGCGGCATACGTAATTACCTTATGTAATCGCAGAGATGGATGTACAGTCATTTAGTATAAGGACGCGCGCATATAATACGGAAAAGCCCGGTGGCTTCGCGAGAGAAAGAACATTTCGAGGACGCGCGTGTTGCATCCGGCTTGCGGAAGCGACGGAAATTAATCAAACGGAATTGTCTCCACGTGTCCCGGGCATATTCTAGTTCAGGTCCCACGTGAGCGGTATCTAGCGAAAGCTTCAATATTACAAACACGCCAGGATATAGATATTTTCATGTACAGGCGACACTCGCGTGATGACGAATGATCATTTGGCGCGAACGCGTTTATTTGCTTCCCCCGTTTATTTATCTCCGCGTGTCACGTGTCGTATATAAAAATGATTAATCATTCGTCCGATAAGCAAAATCGCACGACCAATTGAACGGACGTATGTGTATAGAGTGACTCGAAATTACCGGATACCCTGTTAATTTTCGAGTTTCAAGCGATTAAAAAGGGTTTTTCGCAAATTAAGCTTTGTGCAAATAAAATATTAACGAAACCATATTTTTCAGTTAATTTCAGGTACACAGAGAATTTGATCTTAGAATTTATCCTGAAAATGGTAATTGTGGGACAATATGATATTGGAAGAATTTTAATTAATTTAAATATAGATTAATTTTTAATATACATAGTGAATTTTATATTTATTATGGTATATATTAATATTTTTTATTGCGGTAAATATTAATCAGAGAAACTATAAAATTCTTCCAATATCATATTGTCCCACGATTACCAAGAGATTTTCAGAATAAATTCTAAGAGAAAATTCTCTCCGTGTAGAGAGTCACTTTACTTTAGTAGAATTTTAATTTAAGACTTCGTTACAAAGATGAATGATGGCAAAAGTTGGAAACGTGCAAAAAAATGATGACATGCTTCGATGACAGGAGGAAAAATCGTCTCCAAACAATTTTCGGATTTCTCCGTTAACAGGATATCCAATAATTTTAAACGGGGACAGCCTGTATATATTCGCCCCGTCAATCGTCCGGATTTTATCTCGGGGGATGATGCGTGCCCTCGTGTATAAACGGATCGCGTTCGCTCGTTTAACATATTCGGAAATTTCCCAATCCGGTCGAATATTCCGAACAATCCTCCCTCGTGTGTTTCACGACCCGGAGGGCGTCAATACGCGATGTGCGACCGCGAACACAAATACGCGAAACGCGGCGGATCAAATTCGAATTAGACGTATGCAGGAATTAAATGAAATGATTGATCGTAATAATGCGTTAAATACAAAATTGATGTGTACGAGCGCTACTTTATGCTATATTCCGACATAATTTATCTCCTATTACGATATTAATGCGCGTCGAAGCTATTTATCCGCAAACGCGCTTGTAAATAAAATATATATCTATAATTCTCTTCATTCAACGAGATGGATATATAATCGCAATGAAATTACGTAAATGGATAAATAAAATCCGTTTAATAGTTTACGAGTAATCTTGCTGCAATTTCTCCTCGTTTAAGTATCATTGTCAACGTTGAGGAAACTTGAGACACGCTGCGAGGAAAAGTTCCTCGCATACACCAGCAGGAAAGAGGATGACGCGTTGTCATTCATTTAAGATAAACGCGGCGTAGCAGGAGCATAACGGACGATTAAAAATGAATGAAAGGACTATATTACACGAGAGACTTAATTACCCTGAAGCTGATGGCCCCGTTGCAATTAACGTCGAAGGCCTTGAACACGTAGTGGGCGTAGAGACTGGAGTCTGCAATTCGCATGAGGGGTGGCCATTAACTAATTACGCAAAAACGCGGGCTGTTATTTAATTGGAACTCACTGCCGTGCGGGAAGAATTTCGCGTAAATGTCCTTGAACGAGTCCTCGTGCACCACTCCCTCGGGACACTCCTGGAAGAAGAAGAAAGGGTAGGGAAAAGATCGTGAAAAATGATCGCACTCAGTTTCCGCGAGCGTTTTATCAGAGCGGGATTAAGGGACACTCTATACATTATACGCCACCGACCATTTACTCGGACACAAGCGACCGAGTTGTGTTATTTTGTGGCTTCAGAGAATATATGTATATGTATACATTGGTCCGGGATACTAGTTCTTCCATGCAACCAAGCGCAAAATCACATGCACCGTTTTAACTTGGAGAAATTGGATCGCATCAAATAGTTTGCTAAAAGCTAATTGCTAATGAATAATATATCCTTATTAATTAGGCATACTTTTGCATATGTATATCGAATGAGAGACTATCGAAACAGAGCGAGCGTGTGTATCATTAATAATCTCAATTAATAATCTTAATTAATAATCTCAATTAATAAAATTTTATGAAGCTAGTATAGTGAAGCTCTTTATATTTTTCATATATATTTTTTGTGCAGAAACTAATAACAATGAACAATGAGGATTCCGCACACGATATCGAAGAACGTTGTGGCCGCTTACAGGTAAAATAAAGTATAATGGAATAAAACTAGAGCATTCCGCGTTATCTTCCCTTATCATTTTCTCGTCACGTATATATTTTGATCTCCGCGTACCCACGCGAGATTTCTCTACAACAAAATATACGGCACAAAAGCAGTTCATAAAATAATATTAAATTTTAACAATGTAATCCTATAACACACACATAGTATTATATTATAACGCGATGATCCGTTCAAAATGAACAGCTGTTTACGGTAAAGATTATTCAGACGTGGGATATAACGTCGTATATTCGCTTAAGGGGGTTTTCTAGTATAAGCGTTATTTTTTTCGAAATTTTGTCTACATATTTATTAGTATCTACAATGTGTTTACAAATTTCTCTGGTACAAAAAAAATGAAAACACTCTAAAAATCCTGATAATCGTGAGACAATATGATATTGGAAGAATTTTATTAGAATTTCTCTAATATATTTATCACAATAAAAATATTAATATGTACATAGTAAAATTAATAAAACATATTTTATATAACTTATTGTGGTAAATATTAATCAGAGAAACTCTTATAAAATTCTTCCAATATCATATTATCCCACGATCAAGGTAAATTCTAAAAGCAAATTCTTTCCGTGCATGATTGGGTCGGTTCATTTGGAACAAAAAATTCAAAATAATTTCTAATTAAAAGGATAAATAATTGTTTTCGACCAATATTGGTTAATAAATATTTAATAAACACCGCACAACGGTTAAACCATGGATTTTGGTTCTTCTCAAGTGTACTTAAAATTAATAACCGTGAATACTATTGTGCGAATAAAACATCTTGTCGAACAGTGATGAAATAATCATTATTTTTTGTGACAGTATTGATCGAAACAATTTATTTATCCTTTTAATTATTGACTGGCAACATCAAGAATTTGATTAATTTCTAATTAGTATGTCTTCAGCTAACAGGTACCAGAATAAAAAAAATATTAAAAATTTAAAAATTAGGTCACTTTGTTAGTTCTTTATTTTTGCCATTTTTTTATCTTTAAAGGGCTGTAAAAAAGAGGAAAAAATATTATGACACAATCGTGTGGACACGATATAATCAATTATCCTAAAAAAAATTGGCTCGCAGGTGCTCGCCGGAGACGTCGCTGTTGCCCCAGGAGCAAGGAAGGACCTTGCGAACGGAGGACACCTCCTGGGACGACGACGTAATCCCCGATTTGAAGATACTCGCGCTTCGCGTCATAGTCTCGATCTGGAAGGATAATCCCGTTCTGGGGGATCTGCCGACGTGCGTCGACAGAGACGTGCTCCTGGAAACGCTGCCGACCGATCTCCCTTTTGAGCTCACGATAACGAGAATCGGGGACGGATTTTATTGGGAACGCGCGGCCAAGGACAGGTGAGACAGATACGATGATCAAAGAGAAAATAAAGGGCAAGCTTGAAAATTTTAGCGTTTGTTTCAACATGTTTCCAAATTAGTTTGCGACCAAAATTGGCAAGCACAAAAAAAAGATAACTGTAATCTATCACGTATTCTTTTCATTTAAAATTTATTACAAATAATTAATGTCGCTTTTGCATGAAATTTTTGACATTTGTCGAGTGTTGTCGTAAAACTTTTCACGTTATAGTATGACATTTTGAAACACTACTTGTAAATAAAAAATAAAGAATAAAATTGGAATATAAAGGACAAAATTAAATTTTGAAAAAATGAATAAATCTGAAAAGGATAGCTTAGTTGAAAAAAAGAACTATTATCTGAAATAAAGGACGAATGGTCATTGTACAGGTAGATAATGTGCTTGTCTGTCGATCTATCGAGATTATACGCAAAATTTAGCACGAGAGATCGAGTAGGTACTATTATCGCGTGAAATCCTACGTGAAGTCGTAATTACACATTTTAATTACGGTCCAATTTATTCAACGTTAATTGACCCTAATTTGATCTCAATCTTATCTCAATCTCTCTTCCTTTCTCATCTTTCAGTTGGTCAGATTTTAATATTATCTTAATCTTTTAATAATCTGTCTCGTTTTAATTTCTGTGGTTTTAGCTGTCTTAGATGACATTTATATAATTAAAATGTTTTTATTTTTACGAAGATATTTATTCGTAAAAATATAACACAATTTTAATTTTTTTAATTAGAAATTGAAAAGGTTCTATAATAAGTACTAAATCAGGTATCGACTAATATTATTCATCATTTTCTTTCGAGTCGATCCGCTGAAGATGGTCTAAAGAAAGAATGGAAACGTTTAAAATGATTAGAGGAGACTTAAAAAAAATAAGTTTGTTACGTAGTCTAGAGCTTTTATTAGCTCTTTCCCTGATTTTGTATTTAATTGAAAATGTTCGAAGTTATATAAATTGACATTAAAAACACGTGTTCGAGCAATTAAATTTCTCTATTAACGCAGGTGGGAACACAATGATCCGAACGAATACGGCGGTTCATGGCGACGATTATATTGCGAGCGCCACTTGGCCGAATATCTGGAAACTTTGCACGCGAGCTACTTCGAGGCCCAAAGAGAGGAATGCGAGAACCTAATGACTCTCCTCAAGGACTACATACACGTCGTAAGACTTCGCTCTCTCGTGCCAACCAAGTAAGACGAGTTCACTTACCGAATTCTCCAACTAATTTTTGTGCGCGAGAAAACAATCACAGGTAAACCAGAACAACTGTGTGTATCCACAGTTGGGAGAAACAGATTTGCGGTCTTCTCATGAAGATTTATGTGCGTAAAAAAATTGACATTTACGTACATCTTGAACAATTTTCTAAAAGGAGACTGTACAAAAATTTTACGTATTCTATTCATTCATTTTTCGTATCATTCATTAATTTTATTCATCATAAACTTTTACTCAAAATTTTGTTGAATCTTGACCTTTTTATTTTATAATACATATTTCATGAAACGCGAGTGAAAAATTTACAGTAATTATTCTAAATTTTATATCTCGAAGCAGAAGCTTCATCTTCCTAATTATAACTTCAAAGTCAGATATCATGAATATCTCTTCACAGACGGATTTCGTTAAAGTACAGATGCACGAAAATTTGCCGAGAGACTTGCTGATGAAAAATTAATCTGTATTTATGGATCATATCGCGTCGAATAGTTAGCACAGATATCTGCGCTCACATATCGTTCTCAATCGCAATTCGCGCTTATAAACGTGGTATTTACGCCCGGCCGAGAGATTCGAGAATTATTATTAGAGGCGGTCAGTTTGTCGGCTAAAACTGTAAGTGCTTGCACTTGAAGATCCGGAGAAGTGCGATGGACTCCCGCGTGTAAATATCGCGCGAAAGCGTGGCGGCCGGTTCTATAATTGGCCGGAGTATCTAGGAGGCCAATTATAATCGCACCCATAGATACACACCTCGGAAAATCGCGGATATATCGGAGTCGATCTCTCTCGATTTGAATCGCAATGTCGTCGCGACATCCAAAATTCATGGGCGTCCGCAGAAATTTTCCCAGGAGGGAGCATCATTCATTTTTTTGTCTTTCATTTTTTATTTTTTCTTGAATTTTATTTTTTTTACATTAAATATGCAAATAAATTCTAGTATAATATATATAAATTCATGTATTCAAAAGGAGAGAGTCAATTCTTAATTTTTTTAATGATTCCAAAGGGCAAATACCCATGGGGAAATTAGTCTTCAACAGGGTGTCCAGCAAACTCACTAAAAACAATTCCCTGACTTTTTCAGATTTTTCAAAACCAGAAATTATTTTTTCCCCGACTTTTTGGTATTATTTTTTCCAAATATATAATTTGCAGATATCTATATAATAAATCAATTAAATGTTAAATCATGAAATTCGTGAGATATTTTGTCAACAATGAAAAGGTTCAGAAGTTAAAACAAAAATTTGAATCAATTATACAATCTGCATTATGTATGATAATTGAAACAAACATGCCACTATAAACTATTTAAATAATCACCTTTTTTATTGAAATATAATAATACAACTATAAAAATATAAATTAACAAACACGCTGTAAATGAATCGATTTTTAACAACATAGAAAATTAGCGTGCTGGGAGTCAAGGAAAAGTTTATATTTATTTAATAAAAAATTTCAAATTATTGGGCCAAATGTAGAATATTGTGAAAGATCCAGATAAATAGTAAAATTTCGCGACTTTTCCCTGACAATTCCAGATTTCTAAAATTCCCTGACAATGCCGGGTTTTCCAGATTTTCCTGACCGCTAGACACCCTGAATTAGTCTCCAAATTAGCAGTAGCTATTTAAAACCTATCTATCAACGTGGGCTCCAAATTGAGTTCTACAAAGTGCGAGTTCCAACCGCCTGGGAGATCAAACGGATTGTCCTGTCTCTCTCCTGACACTGCCAATCAGTTTTACTCAATTGGCGGATATACAGTGCCTTCGTTTACTGCTATGCGTGAATATTTGCGACCGATTCGTTTGTTTACCTTCGAAAGAGATTCAATCTCTTTCCTCTCTGTTTGGAACTCCCACATTGCTTTCATTCCATTTCGAAAACTTTCGACGTCGCTACGTCGTTCAGCGAAAAATCTCGGAACTGACGTGCATCGAGAGATTCCTCCATGTGAAATATTACGTCACGCAAAAAATATTTATCCACAGAATTGTATTGCATAAAAGCTACTTGTGTCTCTCAAGATTTTCTATTAAGGAAGAGATTTCGATCTTTCACAATTATAATTTTAATATTAATTTGACAATTATAACATCACCTTCATTCGAGTTATCGAGCGAACACGTTCCTGCGATTATTAAAAGCTATACTTATATGCAAATCTGTGCTTACCACGCCAAGTTTATCAAAATCTAAACGTGACGAACTCGCGGGCGAATAAACTTGTTAAGGCGTGTTAAGGATTCTAATTATACGCAGCGGGATATACAACGCTAGCAATTTGCCGCGGCCGTTTAGCAGTTTTAGAACCCGAGCGGTGTAAATTTTCGCGCGAAATTACAACATAACGCGGCCAGGCTGATATGTGTGACAGTTGATTCTACTGGCTAACAAGCGTTTACTTACAAAGTAGAAAATAATTCAGACGGAAGTTACGACAGGGGAATCTATGAGCAGGACATTTCCCCTTTTTTATAATCTCACCGTGAAATTTATATTTAATTAATAATTATGGTACTACTCTTACACATGCAAACGTAATTATTAATGACCTGAAAATACCCTATATATTAATATATATATCTCAAAAATATAAATATAAATAATGATGTATTACAAACTAATAGATATCAAAAATCTCGCGAGCGGAATTTTTTCCTGTATTGTGTAATTTCGATTATATATATATATGTGTGTGTGTGTGTGTGTGTGCGAAATTTCTAGTATATGTTCGGAAAAAGCGGGATGATATTTGAAGCGTTTTTTGTGAACGTGCGCACCGAAAAGAATGTTTTCTGTCATCCCAGTTTTATTTCATTTCCTTTTATGGCCACATTTATAAAATGTTGTTGAGAACAGGGGCACTGTTTAAAAAGTACCGAAGGTAAATTTACATAGTTACGGTCGTAGAGTCGGCGGAATGGAGATGGTCTCTTATTGCCGCTGTAACGAAGTTGGAACAGGTATGTAATACGGGAAAGAATTCCGCGATAGCGCTTGCGAAACTAATCCCGGACGGAATAAGTGAAATGGTTTCTCATACTCTCTCTTACTCTTTCCAGAACAAAAAAAATTAATTAACTTTTACATACACGCGAAATTTTACAGGATTCCAGGTATTATTAACGTTGAAAAGCGTATAGTAATGGCGAACTTTATGCAAAGTTTAAAAATATAATTTTTATTTTGTATGCGTTACTAACCTTTATTACAACGAAAAGGGCACTGTAGGTACATCATTTCTTCTTTAGGAAAAATTTTATTTTTTAAATGAAATAAGATAAATATTTGTCCGTGTGATAACCCCATTATTCCTTTTTAACCATTTTAATATTTTCAACATTTTTCTCGGCAATTGAGTTTGATTCATAAATATATTAAAACAAAATTGACTTAAAACTGCAGCTAAAAAATATCAAAACATTTCACTTTAAAATAATGATTTTTATCAAAATTACAATATATATATAAAACGTTTGACAATTCTATTTGCTTTAAATCCACTTTTTATTCTTTGTGCATGTTTCTACACAATTCTAACTCGCGTCGAAACTTTCAAACTTTAAAACCAATTTAAACTGATAATGGATCTTTTTCTGAAAATCTTTTTGCGATTCGGCGCATTAATAATTTTAAGAAAGCGCCTCATTACGCGTAACGTATACGTTTTTAATAAGCAAAGTTGCAAGCAAAGAGAAGTCTTATCCACGAAGGCGAACATGGGGATCGGAGTCTCATTTAATTAGAAGCCACGAGAGATTTCAAGGAAAGTAATTTTCTCAGATCACACCGGACTGCTCCCTTTTTAGAGCGATCCGTAAATCCGCTAGTAAGATTTATCTCCGCTTTTATTTGGACTGCGAATGGATTTTTTTTATCGCGACATATCTGAATTTTATTTCTTCCCTTTAATTCCTCGATTCAGAGTCAATAGCTATAAGCAAAATATACATATATTTCAAAAGTGTCTTTTATGTAACACGTATAAAAAGAAGGCGTGAAAAAATACCATGTAAATCTTACATAATTTAAAGTAAATATTTTTGAACTCTCAACTAAATATTTTTGATTTGTAGAAAGGACTTTTTTAATTCAATTTAAAGAATAAGCAAATTAATTAAAATAATTAATAATTTCACGCAATTAAAAAAATCCAATATTTCATGAAAACAATTATGTAATCGGAATGAAAAGACAATATTTTCTCTAATTTAAATAGTTGAACAAAAATAAATATTGACAAAGCAATTTTAGCAATCAATAAAATAAAGAAGCTTACATTAGAGACAATTCTTTACAAAGATATGTTACTATAATTTAATATCTGTTTTAAATAGTGACAAATATTCTTTGAAAAATACATACACGGCGCAAAATGTTATTCCTGACAGACGTAAATAATATGTTACATTAATTAATGTACACAAACCTCTCGAACATATGAATTCTTTCAATGCATACGTATTTCATTATACATGAAATTCCATTTCGTATCAATCTAGTACATCCGACATATATCTCCATCATATACGTGGCGGTTAATATGGCTAGGCATGTGCGTGTTCTTCAATTATTCACTGCGACTATCGTGCTATCGTGCCTCTACATACGCGATGCATACGTGTGTATAGCGTAAATCCATCGTCCAATATTGATCAAAGCCGCCCCGACTCTCGCTCTAATACATTAACTGTCCCGCGAATAAATCGCCGTTGAGTAACGACACTCGGACTAATTTTTTGCATACGCTGAACAGTTACACACGCCGACAGTTTATTACGCGACGCCGAGAGTACGTAAAATATTTTTTCCCCGTATTAAAAAATACTGCGCCTCCCTCTTTCCATCCCTCGTTGAGGCTTGATTTATACACGCATATATACGGGCGTATAATGTAAAAAACTCGGGATAAATATGACAAGCGCATAAATACACAGCGGTGGAATTATAATGAAGAGTTATCGTGAAATTAAAACTTTTTTAATCGCTCCCCGGTAAACTCTTGTCAAAACGTCCAGCGATATTTTTATTAATAAATAATTAGCGGGAAAATCTATTTTTTTTTTTAATAAAAAATAAATTCATCATCAGATTTTTGTTATATTTACGTCCTACGTCGAAAATTTCATTTCATTACACCGCGCTTCGTTACGCGTTTGTCGACAAAAAAAATTGATTGGATCGCGTTCGGTGTTATATCCGCATTATCCGAAATTATTTACAGGAAACAGATCAAGCGAGTCGACGACGAGGACGACGAATCTGCTCTGGAAGAGGACATCGCACATCACATTCATATGGCAATTATACTACCGCAATTTCCACACCTCACCGAAATTTACCTCAACTTTGGTATGATTTACATGGACGACGGTTTTGAGTGGCGGGATTTCGAGTAAGTTTAGCGAGCTGGAGGAGAATTCATTCCCGTGTTCAGGATATACAATCGATAAGGGGATTTATCGCTCGAACAGATTCTCCCTGGAGGATTGCATAAGTCTGGGGGAAGGAATTAAAGCTACCCCAAAACTGAAGAAATTCAGTTTAACCCGCAGCAACTTGGATCGGCCCCGAATCGCTGCTATTCTTCAAGGAATAGTATCGAACGATAATGTTAGTGAATAATTTCCTTGTATAAGCCGCGTTACAGTCGATTCAAGATTTTAAAGGTACACATTTTTATTTTATTTTATTAATTTTTTTTTTATAAAAAAGTTAAATTGAAGTCGCGCCTGCAAATGTTATCTGCCTCGATATTTTTTCATCGTGAAAACAAAACGAAAAATAATAGATACTGTCTGACCGTTTCAGTATCTATCGCCAGATACCGTTCAATAACTATTATATTGTTATCTATTCAGTATCCATTATATGCAAGGTAATAGATGCCATTCAGTATCTATTATCAGTATCTATTGCTATAGATAATATTTGGAGAACGATATAGTCACAATTTCTCTTTTCGCTGCAAAATGGTGGAATTTTATTCAATTCACTCACCGCGCATACATATATATATATATATACATATATACAATTCGCACACAATGCAAAATACGTGTTTCACAATTCTCTCTCTCGCTCTCTCTTTCCCTTTTTCTCCGATATAGATCGAAGAACTGGATGTGTCGCATTGCAATTTGATGGACACCGGTGCGCACGCAGTGGGCGAATTTCTGTCGATGCATCGGAAATTGAGAACTCTGCATTTGACGAACAACAACATAGGACCGATCGGAGTGGCCGGCGTCGTTCATGGAATATTGAAGGCGAGTTCGTGCGCTCTGAAAAATTTCGACCTCAGACTGAACCCTCTGCTAGACGAGGGAGCCCATCACGTATGCGCTCGTAAGTCCACGTAAGCGTTTTCCTAATGCCGCCTTTTTCATCGATCATATCGATCATACATCAAGCGACAATGCTGAATATTTTCGAGAGAAAAGAAAGCGAAATTCTGTCAAATTTAAAGGTAGATATCCTTATCAGGGTGTCCAACAGACTCAATGAAAAAGTTCCCTGACTTTTTCAGATTTTCCAGAAATTAATTTTTGCCCGGACTTTTTAGTATTATTTTTTCCAAATATATCATTTGCATATATCTATACGAGGAATCAATTAAATGTTAAATCATGAAATCCTTGAGATATTTTTGTCAATAAAAGGGTTCGGAACTTAAAAAAAATTTAAATCAATTATACAATCTGCATTATGTTAAATTTTTTTAGTTTTGTCTCTATCAAACACATTGAAATAAAATAATACGACGATGAAAATATAAACTAACGAACACGTTGTGGATGAATCGATTTTTAACAGCACAAAAAATTAGCGTGCTGGGAGTCAAGAAAAAGTTTATATTTATTTAATAAAAAATTTCAAATTATTGAGACAAATGTAGAATAATGTGAAAAAATCCAGATAATAGTAAAACCTGTCTTTTTTTCACCGAGAATTCCAGATTTATAAAATTCCCTGACAATGCCCGGTTTTCCAGATTTCTCTGATCGCTAGATACCTTGCTTATTTCCTGAGAAGCTGATAATGAAGTCAACAATTTAACAATTTAATTTTAGACTTAAGAAAGAGAGAGAAGAAGACTAGTCATTTCTCTCTTTCTTCCCAGATCTGTAAGATAAAGAAAATATAGAAAAAGTTTCGCGATTAAAATATTGTTTGGCCTCGAGAAACTTTGAATAAAATATTCCGTATATCAACAAAGAATCTAACTCGTTTCTTTGAGCTAGGGTAGGTTCGCGATGAAAAGATCGACGAGTTTTAAAAAGTCTTCGGGAACTTTTTCCGTCGCGGAAAATACATGAATATAATGGCTTAGCAGTGAACTAGCAAATGCATTAAAATTTACTGTCGGATTATGTATCCCCTAACTTATAACTCTTAGATAAGTCTTAGGTAACTTTCAGATCTATCTTTTGATAAAATCGAGAAATGTGCGAGATAATAAATTTTCAGTGCGTACTTGGACTCTTCCGATGTTTCAATTTTTAGTTGCCCGTTTTAAATAGCACGTATATGTATATATGTATGTAATTTTCTATAAACAATTCAGTGCTCAATTCATCACCTACGTTGTAACGTAATTATCTTGTCAGGAGAGAAATAAAGCGATGAGTGTAAATATATATAGACGCACGATTAAATTTAACGATTCTCTTCCCGTTTCTTTATCTTAAAACAACAATATATATGGACGATTATTTTATTTCTTTGAGAACGTAGCGCCACTCCGGAAATTATCCATTTGTTTGCCGTGGAATTTAGTGCTTGGATAATATAAAGCACGCCGAAGTAAATTGAAATTTAATGTTGCGTGTAGTGCCGCTTTATTCGTGGCGTTCGTGTATATATGAATGCGTTGCATTCTCGCCAAATAATGGAAAATTCTTCATATTCCATTCTCTTTCTCTCTCGAATAGCCGATATCTATCATACGTATATATATTTGTCCGGAAAGTATGCGTCGCATTTTTTTGTGACATACATGCAGAGCGATAAAATCGGACCCTCGAATTGTTTCGAAATTCTGTGAACCTCTTTAGTGGTCGCGTCGAACTTGTGATCTGTATGCGATCGTGAAGCGACATGGATAAATGCTCTCACGAGCCTTTTTTTTAGGTGAGGGAGCTCAGGACAAGTGTCGGTGACAACGTATTTTTGAACAGCATCCCAGTTTTCATTGGATTTCGAAAAACGAGAATTACTTCGAATTACGCGATCTTTTAAAAAATGCGATCTTTGCGTATATATTTGAATAAAATCGGATCGACGAAAAATTTATACGTTCTGTATTCTCGAATATAATTCTCACAGAGGTAGATAGCAAGTGTCGGTGAATATTTTTTTTTCATTATTTCGAAAAACGAAATTAAATTACGCGTCTTTTAATATGTATCTTTGCGAAATTTAATCGATAACGTTACTTTACGCGCGGAAAATGCTTATAGATATGAAAATGTAACGCTGAAGTGCAAAAGGTATTCTTATCTTGAATTTTACTTTGAAACAATGGATATGTCGTGTCGCCCTGATAGTACGTAAACCGAAAGAACGGAATGCTCTATCTATGATCTCTTCTAGGAGACAAGGTCGCGAGTTGCTGCTCCCCATTGACAATTAAAAGAAATAGCTGAATTCCATATAATCTCGAAACATTAGCATAGCATAATCGACCCGCGAGTCGAGAAAGCGTGGCATAAGCGGCATGCTGAATTATTTAAAGAAATGCCAGCTGAATAGCAAATCGCGGCATGCGCGTGCATACAGATCGCATGTTATGGCGCGCGGAACGTGACCGAAACTCCCATTACATATATAAAAATGCATGAAAGGGCAATAGCACTCGCCATTAAAAGTGCAAAATCACCTGTCGCAATTTTTCAGAGATATATACACGTATGTGTATGTATGTTCCCGGATGTGCAATACACGGGCCGTGCTCATTATCCAAATTGTGCAATCAATTTTGCATGTATGAATAAAAACTTTCAAAAGATACATCCAGCGTTAATTTTCGAGCCTGACAGTTTTTCTGGGGTTCGTTAAAAAACTTCGACTGCCGTTCAGATTATATAATCGGAGGGAAAATTAAATTTAATAGCTGAATAGTAATTAATTTCAGGATGATTCCACTCTATTTTTTATATCGCGCTAATAATAAGGCCAGTGTTTGCTGTTGTCAAAATAAAATTATATACATGATCATCTAAATAAAACTTTGGCGTCATCTTATTTTTATATAGATAATAAAAATATGTATTATCTATATCTGCATCTTAGATAGAAAAAATTATTTTTGCAAAATTATCTAGAATAATTTTCAGGTAATTTTGATTTAGAATCATAGCACATAAAATTACTTTAACAATAAAACTTAAGCAGTAAAAATTTATAAATAAAAATATGAATACATATATTTTTATATCCTTTTTATAATTTTTAACTTTTTTTATAACTGTGTTTATATAAGCAGTCTTAAAAATTATTATCTAGAAAATTAATCTAGATATATTTAAAACAAAATCATCTTCATCTTATCTAAAATGAATTTACATATTTTTATCTCATCTTTATCTAACTAATTTTAAAATCATCTAAGCACAACACTGAATAAAACTCTTGCGAAAATAACGCTTTTCATCTCAGAAAATCTCTACATTTACATTTGCTTGATTAACTTGTCATTTTTTTATTATTGCAGTTCTGGTGAGAAACAAAACTTTGGAAACTTTGAACATCAGCGGATGTGGATTAACATCTGAAGCCGGTATAGCGCTCGCAGGAGTCTTAGCTTCAGGTTGTGTGGAGCTCAAAATCTTATCTCTTGATGTATCGAACAACAATTTTGGATTGACTGGTATTTTATCAAAATTTGATTTCTATATCAAATCTATTTTCTTTGAAAATACTCTTCTCGTGATAATATAATTCAATAAGAGAAGCTTCAAGAGGAAGATATATCTGATAAATCAACACGTCATCTATGATCGAAATAATCGTGTAAAAAAAGCTCTCTTCCATTTTTTACAAAATTATGTAATTATAAATATTTATATATATTAATAGAGATTTTATTATATATATTAATATATATATATTATATATATATATATATATATCAATAGAGAGATCGAAATGAGAATCACGAAATTAATTCGAAAGTAGTGCTTGTATTACTTAACAATCGTAAAAAAGTTCTGAAGAAATGGCAATTCTGTTAATTCTAAGATTAAAAAAATATTGAACTATTATCTAAATGAATTTTAGATAGTCTAACAAGAATCTAATGCTCGAACGTGCTCTTGAAAGAATCGTACTATGGTGCAAAAAACGGCGATAAAATTTGTTCCAGCTGGAGAGTCATTCGAGGCGGCCGTGGCCTCCTGCTCGTACATTATCCACTTGGATGGTCGAATGTGCAATTTCTCGAAAGAATCGGAGTACTCGATCATGAGAGCGCGTACAGGTGAGACCCGATCACCGGATGGGACAAACGTTCCATTTGTTAAAATTCATTTGAACCCTTCAAGAGAGAGAGAGAGAGAGAAAGAGCAACCCTACCCCGGCCGCGTTTCACTTTTATTGTTTCTCGCCCCACGATTTTTCATCATCCGAGGCGCAACGCGAGAGATACAATGTCGTAAATTTTAAACCTTAAGGGACTGAAAGGACTAAAAAAATATATAGGAGCTCGAGCCTGCTACAGATCTATAAATTTTTCTGTCGCGTTTTTATGATACTTGACTTTGTGGACGATTTTACGCGGACTTGCACATATATACGAATCCCGTTACGATTTATTAAGACACGTAGAGAGATTATTGTTGTATTCCTGAGAGAATTCGCGTGCTTGCTGCATCCTTGCAATATAATTTGCAAATGCCAACTTTATGTAGAATTATTTCAGATCGTCTAATATATCGATCGTTCGTTCTTAAAATTTCATCGAGATCAGAATAATGTAATTAAGCAATATTTACAATCGAACGTATGTTCGTATAATACTCGCTATAACTGTTATAATTTATTGCTAACTCATATATTATTAATTTATTAATATGAATCAACATTATTACACTAATTTTCGCTTAATATTTTATTTACACAGTATTATATATATTATTTATTTATATAATATATATATTTCATTTATATATTATATTGTATCTATTAATTATTATTAATTCTTAAATAATATCTCTCGATCTCGCGCGCTCGAAAGTGCGCTTTATTCGTCATTTCACAAAGACTTTATTGAGAGGCAGAAGGAGCGCGAAATAATTCCCTCCGATATTCCGATTCTCTCGTCGATTCAACGCCGTCGCGGAATAGCCGACGGGTTCTCGGTTGGCAGGCTGTGTTTGCAAACGTCATTACGTCCGAAAGGACAACACGATCGTCGTCAGAATAGAATAGGTCGACAACTCCTTGGATGCTGGAGGAGGAGCCCGCGGGACAAAGACGGCGAATTCTTGCAACGTGCTTGGCAACGAGCCAGTCCTTCGTCAGGAGATAACTTTTCTCCTTCGCGAGACGACAATGTCCTGTACTAAAGGACTAGATGGTTAATACATACCGCGTTCTAAGTCTCGAGATCGATTAGTCGAGAACAGTGATGGGTAGGATACATGTATCTGTATCTAGATACAGATACACAAATTAAAATGTATATGTAGATGACAGGTACTCAGATACTTGAAAAGTATCTCAGATACTTATAAATTATATTTTATGATAATAATGGTAATATGCACAAAATGTACTGAATTTGACTGAAAAGATGGGACATCTTTATTAATATTTTTACTCAAACTATTTCGCCATGGTACTATTTGACCAATGCTTAATAATCGCTCAACCTGTTTTGTTGACAATATGTTGATAATTTGCAGTCTTGATCTTTTGAAGAATTGGGCTATTAAAAACAAATATGTGAAAATGTATCTGCAAATGTATCTGAAAAAAGCAATTCAGATACCATGTTTTGTATCTAGATACAGATAGAGATACTTCAATTCGAATATATCTCAAATACACAAAATGTATCTAGATACTGTATTTAGATACATGTATCTAGATACTGCCCAACACTGGATATGTTAATAACTTGCAGTCTTGATCTTTTAAAATTTAATGAATTGGACTATTCAACAAAATATGTGAAAATGTATCTGCAAATGTATCTGAAAAAAGCAATTCAGATATCATGTTTTGTATCTAGATATAGATACTTCAATTCGAATATATCTCAAATACAGACTCAGATACACAAAATGTATCTATAGACACTACCCAACATTGGATATGTTAATAACTTGCAGTCTTGATCTTTTAAAAATTTAAAGAATTGGGCTATTAAAAAATATGTGAAAATGTATCTGAAAAAAGCAATTCACACACACACAGATATCATGTTTTGTTCTAGATATAGATACTTCAATTCGAATATATCTCAGATACAGACTCAGATACACAAAATGTATCTATAGACACTACCCAACATTGGATATGTTAATAACTTGCAGTCTTGATCTTTTAAAAATTTAAAGAATTGGGCTATTAAAAAAATATGTGAAAATGTATCTGAAAAAAGCACACAGACTCAGATACACAAAATGTATCTAGATACTACCCAACACTGGTCGAGGATCGAGATTCGCGAACTGGTCCCTCCTTCTTCCTCAGGAACGTCGTGCAACAACTTTGCATACGCGCTATTTAAGCGCGCCTCGTTCCACAAGCCGGCGTTAATTTAGTCAATCGATTTATCCGTTTTTCCTTCCTTCCTTTTCTTTTTTAGGAACGCACACGCGGTTACGTTCCCTCTCTCGTTACGCGGATCTCCCGTCGATCTCTCCCCGTACTTTCCGTGCACCTCTGACCTATTGACGCCGTTATTCGCACGTCGCGTAATATAAGCGTATCACAAGGATTTCTCACTTGTATGTAAATACATCTCGGCCTCATTCTAAAGATCCGTCGCACATACGGGATATAGTATTCTACGTCGCAATCCTCGAGTCAAAATAAAAATGCACTCGCAACTTGACAGCAGAAATTCATCTCCTCCGAGACAATATCAAATTTATAGAGGGCATCTAAATAAGTGAAACATTTTAGATGATTCTTTGTCGAAAATTAAGACGGTTTCTTATACAAACATATACGTACTCTTACATCCCTTCCTGATTAAAAATTAAACTTTTATTTTTTTTTTCTCAAATTTCAGACAAATTAAAAAATAAAATTGAATATTTTCCATTAATAAAAAGATATTTATTAATATTTAAAAAAATATATATATATATTTAATTTTTAATTTTCGACTAGAAAAGAATTACCTCCTAAAATTTTTCGCATTTATTTAGATACACCCTGTATATACATATGTATAAATGTATATCAACATTTTTATATGAAAAGACCTCGCACTATATAATTCAATGGAAAATGGATTTCCGTTGAATTGGGGAAATTTTTGATATAGTATTGTAATTTAAAGCATATTCTGGTCAAAAAAATGTAATAGCCTCAAAGCTAAATAATGGACAGTTACCGAGTTACAACCAGTTAAACATCTCGCAAAGCGCGAGTTTTTCATGTTTAATTGGCTGTAAATCAGTAACCAGCACCTATTATTTAGTTTTAAGCTTATTACATTTTTTGTTCGGCGGATGATAAGCTGTAGCTATACATAAGAAAACCAGTTGATTTCACCACGATTTAATTTTATATAAAATTAGTAAGAGGTTCTTGAATTTAATAAAATTATGTGTCATAACTATTTATAATAACTACAATTTATTTATAATTTTGTTACAACTATCACTCATTTTCCATTGAATTCTATAGTGCGGGGTCCTTTAAAGATAGAGTATTATTATTTATAATTGTTTTTCCGCGGTTACATTTCAAGTGATTCGTCATAAATAATAATTATGAAAAAGAAACGTAATTTATCTCCGATGACAGATGAGACTCATTTCCTTCTTCGTACTCTAAGAGAATCGAGATCGACATTTGCTGACAGACAGGGGGAAGAGGAATTGTGGTTATCATATACGTTTCGATTTATTACATTCCCATTTCTATAATAGTGCATTCTCGTTTTCGGTGCAACATTACAATTGCGCATATATTTATCTTCCATCGACCGCATTTTTCAATTTATTTTATCGCAATGAGTTATTGCTTACGTGCGCGGTCACATAGTTATAAATATTTGCACGCTGTACGTTTTTTGCACGCAGGAATAAACAAAATATGAGAAAGGAAAGGAACAGAGTGGCGTTTTCCCGAAGTAGAGACGTCTATAATTCATCTAGCGCCAAGGATCTGCAACAACATCCGGAAGTTGGGCCGTCATTCCCAGAGTCGACGGGTATTGTGAATTATTTTACTGCCAGACAAATCGATGTTGGTAAGAGTTGTTGTACTACTTTCTTCGTACGTTTTATATTATTACAACTTAATCTCTGAACATGAAATACAGCAGCGTTACGCAAAACGTATATAAAAATATCACGCGAATCCACCACCATACGGCTAATTTCATTTAAAATAATTGAGCTACATCCTAAAGATATACGTTCGGAGATGAAATTATTTTAAAAAATTCACAGACTAAATATAAATTTACTTTAAGAGATGAAATGTTTTTTTTTTTTTAAATTTATGTTGTATTCAATGTATGCATTCAAATGCAAATTTCTGTTAATGTCTAATGACATTTTACTTTTGAAATTTTTGATGTAATAGTTATTCAACGGAAGGAACGTTTCATTCCATTTAATGAACCTGACTACTTTTCGAGTTTAAGCGACACGGACAAAAATATTCAGCACCGAGATCTCTGGGTTATTAAATTTAATTAAAATCGTGGAATTGCAGACGAGCTGGAATTGATGAAATCAATTCTCAGGACTTGGAGTACAAGCGATCCCGCCTATTAAGGGAAGCTCTTACGGTTATGGAAAATTTAAGATGCCGTTTGGCAGAAACGCGAAGCGACGCATCCACCGGAATCTTCAAATAAAACTAAAGCGACCATATATACAGGCTCCGTAAAAACACGAACAGCTCTGAGTTCAATCGATAGACCTATTCCTTGAAGATCGATATAACGTTTATATTTATTACGAAACGAGAGCTATGGACACTTGCCAGGAAAGTTTTGCAATATTCATCGCATATAATAATAATAATTTGCTGCATTACGTCTGCGCCTCTAATAATAAATTAAGATTATAAAAACGCTGCCAAAGTAAATAAAAATGAATAAATCGTAATAATAAAAAATAATTGCAGATTTTCATCCTTATCTCGTCGATTAATTTTGTGATAAAAAAAAATGCCTCAATGACAATTCATTAATTTAACAGAGCGAATCTTTCTCCGACGAAATATTTTCCGATTGCTCCTCGAATTTTTTTCATTGACTCTGAATCGTCATGCTTCAGGGATTTCAGCAAATATTACGAGTTCTCTGTATGTGAATTGGAACGACGATCGCAGATGTGTATGTGTAGATTAAATCGATTGGAAATTTAAGAATACGTGACGATAAACGCGAGGAAAATCTCGCGCGCAAAATAGCTACGTGACGATGTAATACGAAAACGTAATAATGTAATGTGATAATAACGCGTCCTTCATTAGACGTATGCCACGAAGATTGCGCATTGTCGACTGAAATCAGCAATCGCGAAGCAGACTATCCTGAATAATATCTATGCCGTCATTGTACAGAGTTGCAATAACAATTTCTGTGTCTCCATGTAGGTAGGTCTTTCCAAGAGTATATATACGAACGCGTTCTCGTGTGAACAATCGCGCCCGTTGTATACAGGGTGTCCCAGAACTGGCGGAAAAGTTTTAATGGCAGATTCCTGGTATCATTCGGAGACGATTTTTCCT